CCCATACAAAGTAATCATTGGGATTTGTAAGTCAGGATGGTTCTAGTTTTACAGGACTTGGAAACTTTTGTTCTCGATCTAAAGCAGTTTCGCTAATAGTAAGTTTTTTCGAAGGTTTACTGGAGCGGGTTCCCTATCATTGTTTGCTCAGTAGCAGAAAAAGCTGTAGGATTTTTTATTTCGAATAATATATGTATTATCACTATCATATTCTCAGTTACATATTGTACAGTGTGATAGAAAGATGCGCGATAGTGGAAATTTATCAGGAAATTTTTCAGATGGATATGAAAGACTATATCCTTCAATATCAGCTTTTTTAAGCAATGTCTCAACCAGTTCAAATTCAGCTATACTTGTCTCATTACTTATACTAACATATTTTACGCTTTCCATCTCTGTAACAGTCAAGAGAGGACTATTATCGATGACTTTTGATTCATCATTAGGCGGACAAATCATGAAATCAAAGATAGTTCCATCTTTTGGATAAATAGCTTTTTTATACAAACATGTTCTCCTGTTTGTTCATTGTATTTAGGTGATCCAAGCATTTGCAAGGAAAATGATCGTTTGTTTGCTATATTATCTACAATACCTTTATCCTGTAATCCTACTGTGAGTTTTTTACGAATAAGCTCAGTAAATACTGCAACCTGAGCTATATTTGAAAGTCTCATGCCAGAAGTTAAGACATGTAGAAATATTTTTTTCTTATTATTACTTTCAGCAATAGACATAGTATTTTTATTCCATTCTGGGAATATTTCTAGGCAAGTATCTCTGAAGGCACGACAAAGTATATTTTTTGCCTGACCGCCTAAAATCTTAAGGGTAATAGCATTTAATGTTTCTATTGGTAAATCAAAGTCTATAACAGGATGGAGTAGCTCATCTCTATCAATAAATTCGTGTAAGGAATGGCCTTCACAATCTGAGAATATGGCTTCTATTTCATTTTCATTGTCTGCACTAAGGAAATGTTTTGGTCTAATACTATCATTATGAATTTTATATAAGCATTCACTGATATCAGAAGCTTTAAAACCTTGTTTATATGGGGTGAGGCGTTGAGGAACTCAGATTATGTCATTTTTTCTCAAGCAATTTAAAATAATTTATAGTTATACCAAAACTCAAGGTATATTATTCGCAAGGAAAAGTTTAAAATGAAATTAATTCCCTGACATTATTAATTGATACATATAAATGGGAGCGGAAAAAAAGGTGACACCCTGGTATTATATAATTGTCCATATATTCTTAAGACTGGAGAAGTATGCAATTGGAGATGCTATCATCCAAAGGGATGTAAAGTCCACTGAAATTCTAGGCAGGTTTTTTGCAAAGAATGCAGTGAGCTGACAAAATCCAAATATGACTATTGCGATATGCATGCAAAAAAACATAGATCAAAAAAACACTACCATCAGAAAAAGTTGGCTGAATTAGCTTCAACACAAGGATTGGTGATGATTAAGTATAGATAGAAGCGCCTTTCAGCCTGATCATAAACTAAGGATATGGTTTTTCCAATTTTTTGTCACAAAGAAAAAATTCTTTATGACAGCTTTCTGTGACACCGTTATATAGCTAATTCGTATTTTTAGAGCTATTGAAAGGTTCCTAGATGGATGTCATAATGGCACTAAGAGTCACAAAGAAAATTGGACTTCTTAACTTTTTTTTATTTTTTTTTTATATATGTATAATTCATATATCATAT